TAACAACATAAACAATCAATAATATAGCATTAAAGCTGTTCCGTGTATTATGTATTTCGGCAGAATTAACTGTTTGCTATTTATTTAATGAAGTATGAGTGACCCCTGCTGGCGTTATGTTGCATCTTTCATCTTTAATTTTGAGACCCCACCCTTCTTCCTAGAGCACTGCACGGGCCTCAAATATAGGCCCTAGCCCGGCCCTTGTCCGACAGCTCATCAAAATGACTGGCCCGAGCCCATCTTTTTTTTCCCCCTTCTCCCAAAACAGCTTACTACTGTTTCAGCTATTAAAATAGTTCAGTTTTGTATGTAATGTCAAAGTGAATATATTTAGTAATTTTTTTATTAAGTTAATATAGAAAAACGTTTGGAGCATTTTTTTTGTTCAATAAAAATATAAGTTTTAGTTTTTTAAAGTAACGACCAAGCGGCCAGCAGTAGACAGTGACTTGATCATAGCCTATGTTTGATCAATTTAGACTTCTCAAATCATCACGACTTGCCTAACATAAAACATATAGATATAAAACAGTTCAAGCATACCTTAATGTTAGTTTAAATGTTTAACCTATATAAATGTGCGCTATTAGACGCAAATCTAATCGTTTGTGCGGAGAGCGAGCACCGCAGCGAAAGACGCGAGCCAGGCAACGCCCTCTCCCCCTCCGCCACCTTCTGTAATGACGCTTGCAAACTCGCGCTGTGCCGCGAATTGGTCTTTTTTAAAACTAAAAGACGGAAAACAGAGATAAGCAGATGTAGGTGTGTGAGAAAATATCATATATAGTGTTGGTGACACAGCGGTTTATAAGAGCTCCTATTCTCTGTTTTTATTTAAGCTCTATTAGATGAGGCATGTCCGGAACATTCTCTTGCTGTTTACTGTTGCTGTCAGGAACTATTTATTTAGCGGAAGGACGGCATTTAACGAACTTGCTTCAAAAAAGTAACATTTCAATACATACATTTTTTGGTTTTAATATTTTTTATTATGTGGTAACCGTTTTATAAAAGCAATAAGGTACTCGAGGCCATGCTGTATCCGCTTCGCTTCGTGCCTAACAACGCCCTTCAGCCTTGATTTAATCATGATACAGCATGGCCTCTCCTACCTTATTGCTTACTTAAATGCACTTAATTGCCTCCACGTCGTGCATTTAAAATCCTTTAATGCACGGCAAACCATTGATTATATCTTACATAACATATTTTTCGTAAATATATACATGCATGTATGTATATTTATAGGCTATATACATAATAAATATACACAATACACACATATATTATGTAAACAAAAACTTTTATTTTGGATGTGATTAAGCGCGATTAATCGTTTGACAGCACTAGTTTGCACTTAAGTATATTCTTGTACGTTATATTATTTTCATAATACATACTATTTTTAAAAGTATGTTAGCGTGCACTTCTGTTTCACACTTTTCAGCATACTATGATTTAGGTTGTATTAACCTTAATCTTGCCATATAGCACAGAAGTGGGATGCAGCCATCACTAGCGCACAGCGCTATGCACTTGAGATGTTTATGTAAGCAGACGGTACACCACCATGTGGACCAGTGCCAGACAGCCACAAAACATGAGAAATACGGTTGCAAGTACAACAAAGATTTCTTTGAGGTCAGAGGGCTGGTTTTGTCCTGTAGCAGTCCCTCGAGATGTGCTGGAGTAGGTTAAAAAGGTTGTAGAAAAACAGGCAATGTAACCAGCAGGATTAATTGGTACATGTGTAGTTATTCTCTGTCCACACACAGGTAACAGCTTTCAGACCAAATACACTCATCAAATCTGCATACTGATCAAATGGCACTTAGCTTAGCGTAATTTAAGAGTGCTAAAATGTAGCCTAGAATGAGAAAAGAGTTCTTCTCATTTATGAATATTCCCAGATAGCACACGTACATCTGCAAGATGTCTGTTAAAGATCACTTTATCTGAAAAGCATCTGCTGTGTACAAACATCTGATAAACATCTTTAAGATGTCATTTTTACGTACATTCTAAATCATAAACATCTTAGACATTTTCTAAATGTCTGTTTGGCGTCTTAACAGGAAATGTCCTAGAGATGTATTGCTGACATTCACTCATAGAGCAAACACTCTAAAAAAATATGTTCCAGATTTCGAATGATAATGTCTTTTAAAATGTATTGTGTATAACCAAAACTGTAATCTGTGAAATTAACTATTTCGCATTCTTTATTTATTTAGATAGCTTGCGTTTTGCATACGAACCGCTTAGCAAATCGCTAGCTGATTAGTCTGCTAGTTTTGCTTGTGCAAAATTGCAAATGTGCTTTTGTGAGAGAGCAGACCTCCGGAAGTGGCCGATCACCCTTTGAGACAGCCAACTTCCTACCACCTACTATTTGTTGTAGGTCCCATGTCTGTTTGAAGTTTTATACCTTGTTTTATACTTTTGTGGGACTACAAATGTAAGAATCTGTGATCCTACATCCTAACATAACATCATATGAAAAACTAAGGTGAACTGTAATCAGCATTCAAGGTGAATGTGATGGCATCAATTTATTGATTACATTCAATATAGTTTGCAGTTATGGGGTTCTGCCTGTCTCTGATCTTCCTACTTAGTTAACTTTGTGTGAATGTTTGCATGTCTCTAGTTCTCGTGACCAGGTGCTGCTTAAAACGTTTGGTGATATAGATTCTAGGCAATCTGTGCATTATGTTCACAAGTTTTTAGGTCATTTGATGTATATTAGGTCTATTTGAGGATCCATTTGGGGGTCCATTTATTCACCTCTTTTTAACCCTGGGTGTAAGGCCAATATGAATAAGGACGGCCCACTGAATGCCTATAAATTACAATGTATGCCTACCTTAGTAAGACTGTGATGACTGCAGCATCGCACATCACATTCCCAATAAAGGATCTTCTGAATCTTCTGAGGACACACCAAAATCTCCTGGTCTTTGCTTCGGAGTTTCTTACAATTTCATAACATGATTTTTCTTAAATTTGAATAGTTGTAATGTGTGCTTTAATTTTTAAAAGCAAATTTAATGGTATAAAACCATTTAAAAACCTAAACCTCATCAAAGCAGATGTATTTAGCCTAAAAACATTCACACTAATACTTGGTTTCATCACCACAAGTTTTGTCAGGAAGTTGATTTTGTAGTTGGCATGCATCTTTGAAGTGCTAAAAAAAAGTGCTAAAGAAAATTAAAGTGCAATTCACATATGCATTTACTTTGGTGCCACTGTAAAAAGTGGTGACATGCAATTGTTACCTTATAGAGCTATTTCTACCTGATTTGTCCTTTAACAATTAGGTTTGTTGATGTAAATTAATTCATATAATTTGATTCAGTGATGTTAAATAATATTTTTGCCTTCAATAAAACCAGTTAATTTAGATGTTACCATTTTTTCACTGTGTGCTATTTCCTCAAACAGGTGGGAAAACCAAAAAAAAGAGAGAGAGAGAGAGAGAGAGAGAAAAGAACAAGCAAGGAAGTGGTATATTGCAGTGCTGCCTACATCCAGGGGGCTTGGAAAGTTAGAAATAGTCAAGAAGCAAAAAAGTTCAAGTTTTTAAGCCCTGTGACAGAAGAAAATGTTTGAGAATGTTTTATTTCAAAAATGTGACTTTTCAAGATATTCAGATATTAGGTTAGTTTGGTCACATTAAGCATGCAAATCAGTGCATAGAAGATATCAATCATACAAAGAGATCCTCAAATACAATATATGTAAATGAGTGCCAATATACATTAGCAGATGCATTTATACAATTATGCTTTTTAGGTGCTGCACTGAAAATGTGGCGTAAAAATTGCCCACTCTATCCTCTCCACTCTGCGGTCAAAATAAAATTGCAAATTGACAACATGGAATGTCAGGAATCTCAGAGATACTGAGGGTAACAATCCTCATAGGAGGACTGCACTGATTTTTGAGGAACTTAGGTGCATATAATATAGAAACCGCTGCCCTAAGCTAGACAAGGCTCCTAGGTGAAGGAAAATAGAGGAGGGTACATCTTCTTGAGAGGCTATACCCCTTGCAGCCAACATCAGCATGGAGTGGGTTTGACAAACACACAACAGTGGTTTCTATCAGTTAGATGACATTTTTTACATATCCATAAAACTGCTAAGGTTTTCTTTCTGGGTGCTTTCATTGCTAGAGTGGGAAAACACAGTGTGATGTATGGAGTGAAGTAATGGGTAGCACTGTGTTGGGCAAGTAAACACAAAGGGACTAAGGCTGCTAAGACTCTGTGCAGAGCATGACCTCATTATTACAAACACATTATTTCAGCTGAAAACCAAATTGAAAACATTTTGCATGCACACACTGGCACCTCATCAGTTATATCGTAACAAGATGTGCTGACATGTCTTGTTGACCTGGGCCATGAGAGGTATAAAATGCTGGATGGATCAGTGCTTTATCATTAATAAGCGCCACATTTTACTGCTGTGGCCATATCTGCAGTCCTCATGCCTCTGCAGCAGGACAATGGCATGTTCACACAGGTGATCAGGAACCCTGGGCATCTTTCCATACTTCAGTCAGGACTAGACTTGTGCCGGTATTCGGTAATGCGGTATATCACGGTACAGCACTTTTTTTGAAAACTTAATTTCAATATCGTGATAATACCGTATACCGTGATAAAAGCATTAGCAATTAATCGCAACATGAAAATTTGATACCGGCATATCCCTAGTCAGGACCACTCTGTTTGAGTAAGATTATTGTAGAGGTCCTAAACTTTATATTTGGCAGCAGGCTTCGCTCTGAAGGGTTCAGATTCTGAGCTATCCACAGGCAAACCTCACTGAGGTTTGAACCCCCCCCAAAGCCTAAGCAATTGCCAGATATTTTATATGCACAGTTGTATATTCCAAGTAGAGTAATAAAGTACTGTGAATAAATTTGGACAAATTTAGCAATGAGCTGGACAGAAGATATCTCCGTGGGCAAGCAGTTAAGTGATCATGTATCTGCACAAGGAGGAGTTGGGGATGGAGAAGGGTAAGCGCATGTCTGTGTGACAGACTATGGCAAGTGTGAGTACAGATGAACTTATACATCTTATTAATTGTAGTGGGAGGAGTTACAATCAGCTGAACATCAGGTGATGCTGCAGGCCCGTCATGGTCTGCCTGAACTACGCTTGAGCTCTATTCGTTGCTCAAGATTTAGTAGAAAGTAGGGCTGCCCTCGACTAAGGATTTTTCTGGTCGACTAGTAGTTGTTCATTTGAAGCATTTGTCGACTAATCGTACGTTTATTAATAAACAATTTAATTCATTATAATGAGCCTTTAATTGCCTACATAGCCTAATAAGCGCTCAAGCACACGCATAAAGCTTGCCACAGCGTGCAGGCAGAAGTAATGAATATGAATGTGTCAGTGAAAAACAGTAAGGAAACTGCATTAACATTTTAATAATTTGATAAACTATGCTTTCTTAGTTTTTGGTTTAAGAGATGAAGTCGGCGACACTGACCCGTCATCTCCTCAGTAATGGATGTGCCTGTATGCATGTTTCATACAGAAACATAATCTGTTTTCTATTTGAATTGTTTCATTTGAAAGTAGAAATTTCACTCTCTATAGATATATTTTTAATGTCTGTAATTATAAATATTATTTTTTTTAAAGCTGAGTTTATGTATGGGTCACATGGTCATTTCATGTGATGTATAATTAACTATTAAATACATTTTTAATAAACATAAAAAAAATCTATTTTATATTTGTACATTAACAATGCATCAATATTCTATTTATTAAAGCCAAGTATGCATCTCAGTTTGTGGTTTTAAGAATTTTACATTTATTCCAAAATAATAACTAAAGGCAGTAACAATTTAAACTGTATTTTATTTGTGAACTTATGTTCAGCTATTCTTTTTAATAGCTAACTTTTTACTATTTTTTTATTTTTCAGATCATCAGTCATCAAAGTTTAGTTCAGAGATTTACTTTATATTTCCCCAAGTTGATTTCTTACTAAAAACTCCCACAGATCATGTTATCATGCCATTTTAAGTCTTATTTTGATGTAACAAAGTGGTTATATCTAAGTGTGTGAGTTATGTTTTTAAAATTAGTCTTCCAATTACCACCATTATATTGTTCATTCAGACTGATTCGCAAATGCGCACAAACACAAGAGGCAAGATTTTATCACCTCTTTATTTTTGGTTTTTATATTCAATCAAAGCCAAACATAACCAGTCATATCCAGTCATATTGCAATGGAGGCATTGCCTCCTCTCACGTGATTTCCCCCCATTCATTCTCAGTTACCCCCCAGTAAACTCAAGGCACGCTTTAGGGGGTCTGTTAAAACTCAGTGGGCTCAGGGGAGGAGAGAGATGTGGACTCCCGCTGTAACTTTACCTGCTGGTGTCACAGTTGGATAGTTTTACTTTAGAAGAACAAGTGATTTATATACTTTTTACTGTCATATTTTGTAATATTGCTGTTCTTTCAGTTTTGAATTTTTAGCTGCAATTTTTTTCTCATCCAATATTTTGAGGAGACACTGCCACCCTTGCCACACCCCTGATATTATATATATTTCAGCAAAAACAAAAAATAATAAACTATATACACTAAACAAAATTATAAACGCAACACTTTTGTTTTTGCCCCCATTTTTCATGAGCTGAACTCAAAGATCAAAGACTTTTTCTATGTACACAAAAGGCCTATTTCGCTCAAATATTGTTCACAAATCTGTCTAAATCTGTGTTAGTGAGCACTTCTCCTTTGCCAAGACAATCCATCCACCTCACAGGTGTGGCATACCAAGATGCTGATTAGACAGCATGATCATTGCACAGGTGTGCCTTAGGCTGGCCACAATAAAAGGCCACTCTAAAATGTGCTATTATTTTTGTCTTTACTGACTTTTTTTTTTCAAGATAATGTTCAGGAAGGTTTGGGTGATGCTTTAAACCATGAAATTGATGTATGATGTAACAGTTTGTGTCTTTGATGACATTTGACATGAAATGTTCACACTTTAAAGTGGAGATGATTTTAGTTTAAAATATGTATCTTCTGAAGGTGCTGCTCTTATTATGGGTGCAATGAACACAAGCAAAAATGAGATAACTCTCATTACCCATTTGGGGACATGACGTAGGACTATGTGGCATAGTTAAAAATGCAACTTCCTGGTAAGAAAGGGCATTAATGCAAAGCTAAAGGGGACAGTGTCTCTGAGTGTCTTTGAAGAGGTGTTTGAACCCTTGGATATGGCAAGATTTTTTGCACTAGGACCCTTCATTTTGATCCTATGCTTGGTCTTATGTAAGTACAAAAATGTAACCTAAAATTTTTTATTTTATTTTATTTATTTTTTACAGATGAATTTGTGATGGTGTGTGTGTGTGTGTATATATAATTTACATTAA